AACAAACATAAGTTACATGTACCAAAGCAGTTCAAGCAACCTGAATTTCTAGTTATCTCTGAACTTCTCCTTTAAAAAATGAAAAATACAGGTAGTCCTTGGGTTATGATAGCAATTGGGACTGGGATTGCCATCACTAAGCAATGCGGTTGTAAAGTGCGATGTCATGTGACCGCATTGCTTAGTGATGAAAATCCCAGCAGTCCCAGTTGCTGTTGTAACCCCAAGACGTGTGGGTCATTAAGCAGTAAGTGGCAGGAGTCCCAGATAAAGAGCGCAGGGGTGCCACGCAGGGGTGGGGCAGTGCTGGGGCAGCCCCTAGGAGGGCCGGTGTAGGCTGCATGTGTGCTTGGGAGGCCTGCTACAGCCAACACAGTAGTGCAGGAAGGCTGGGGGATGGATGGTACAGTGCGAGCACAGGAAGGCCAGGGGATGGATGGCATGGCAGGGCACAAGCACAGGAAGGCCAGATAGACTTACCAGAGTGACTTGTGACCTTCACTGTTGGCTTCCCCATTGACTTTGCTTGTGGGAAGCCAGCAGGGAAGGTGGCAAAAAGCGATCACGTGACTGCAAAACACTACAATTGTCATAAGTGCAAGCTAGTTGCCAATTACCCAAATCATGACCACATGACTGACACTGCGACATCTGGAACATCAAAGACCAGTTGTAAGTACCACTCATTCAGCACCATCGCAACTTTGACTGGTCGCTGAACGAGTGATCAGTAAGTGAGGACTATCTGTAAAGTATAAACTTTCAGTTAGTAGATAGGATTTCTTGCTAAAGGCACAAACATTTATACTATCAAACACATAAAGAAGTTGACATGTTTCATCTGACTGCTTACTTATAAGCCTAATGAAACACTTAATAATATTAGTTTCAAATGTCATATTACCTCTCTTTAAAAACCTGAAGACCTCTCACTAGGCCTTCCAAACAAAGGAGGTCATATCGGTTAGCAGGAACATCAATTTTATACAGAATGGTTTCTGATGCACCCTCTGCTTTTCCATCACCTTTTTCTTTGCTTATTATGTCCTTCTCGGAAGTCTGAAATTAAAAAAAAAAAAGTTTTATAAAGCATACGAACAAACAAAAATAATGAGCAGACTTCAAAATCAAGCAGTGTGAGTCCACTCTTCCAATATAACTTTTAAGCCCTTCTATACAGCTCCACAAATCTTGCTTTTTAGAGCTTCCCAATCCTTTTGAGAAGATATGAGGTCCATGAGAGTTTGCAGATGGGAAGGAGAAGCTTTGTACCATCTAAATCTGTTGTTAAAAATAGTTAAGGCAGTAAAAACAGAACATGGGATTTCAGTTCATGGAAATTGAAATCCTATATTCTGTTTTTACTGCCTTAACTATTTCTAACAACAGATTTAGATGGTACAAAGCTTCTCCTTCCCATCTGCAAACTCTCATGGACTTCATATCTTTGATAAGCTATTTGAAATAAGAATATTTTGCTTAAAATGCATTCATATATGAACAAGCTTATACTTAAGTTAATAATCAACCTCTGAAAATTAAAAAAAAATGCATCAGTGACAACCTAAACTATTTTGACCTAACACATTCCTATCATCTGATTGATTATTCAGAAGTAAGTTCTACTGATTTCAGTAAATTTTACTCCAAGCAAATGTGCATAAAATTCAGCTTAAGGTCAAATAAATAAACATCTAGATAGTACTAACTGTAAATATGTAACATCTAAAACGAATGTCAGTTGGAAGCTATCCCTAAGCTCAACATTAGCGTTACTTCTCATTACACACAGGCATTACAATTATTTTTTCAAGGTAAAGTTAAATTTGGAATTGTACTAGTTGTATAATCAAAGGATCCTTTTTTAAAGGTCAATACCGGAAGTTATTCATTAAATAAGCAATTTGATCTCCCCCCAGATAATTGTATTGATTATGCTAATTAATGACCTTTGTTGAAACCTGTAGGGGTATGTACTCTTTGATCCTAATGGACCTCTCTGCAACTTTTGATACCACTGAACATGGTATGTATCCTTCTGGACTGCCTGTGGGGTTTGGGGGCATCGTTCATCAATATTTCCAGTTCTTTCTCAACAGTCAATTTCAGTTGGTGATGCTGCCGGAGAAATTGACCTGGTGGTCTGTTACCTTAGGAATGTCAGAAAACTCAATTCTCTATCCCCTACATTTTAATATTTATAAAAACATACTCCTGTAAGAGGTTATCTTTTGGTCTGAGGTATGGTATCATCAATATTCTGATGATATCTAACTGTGCATTGTCAGCCCAGGCCATCCAGGCAATGTGATGGTAGTCTTGTCCTAGCACCTGGAAACTATATTGGAAGAAACAGTCTGAAGCTGAACTCACGCAAGTTGGAATTGTTCTTCCTTCACTGAAGTTTTCTGTCATACCCAGTGCTGTCTCTCCTGAAAGAGCATGTCTGTGACTTGGTGGCCTCCTAGACTCACAACTATTTCTGGATGGACAGATGTAGACCAAGATCAGGAGATCTTCTGCCCAGCTCTGGCTGGTGTACTGACTATAACCCCACCCGAAATGAGCAGAACTTGCAACTGTAACTCATGTTCTCACCATTGCCTAGTTGGACTTCTACAATGTACTTTATACATCACTTTCTTTAAAATCATCCAGAAACCCTAATTGGTACAAAATGCAGCAGCCTGCTTACTAAGTAGCATTACCTGTCATGAGTACATTACACTTGTGTTAAAAGCCCTGCACTAGTTGTCAATGGGTTTCCAAGTGCAGTTTCAAGCATTGGTTTTATCTATGTATTCATTATTTATAGTTTTTGTAGACTCTGAGTAGATTAAAACAGAGTAAAAATATAAAGCAACAAAAAAAAAGCATGAATTATAAACTACCTTCCCAAGATTAATGCCTCCAGCAATCGGAGTTTTAAAAGTTCAGCAGTTTTTGCTTACAAAAACCCTATATGACTTGGTCCCACGATACCTCCACAATTGCTTCCTGCAGTTAGAACTGTCCAATCTGATGCAAAGATCATAAGAAAATTGCTTGATTCCCCATTTCCATGAGATCAAAAGGGCCAATCTTTATTTATTTATTTAATTTTATTTATATTTCAAATTTGTCACCGCCCATCTCACTGTGGGGTGACTCTGGAAATATCAGGAGATATTTCTCTATCATGGCTCTGATTTCATGGAGCAACCTCCCCACAGAAATTAAATTAGCTCCAGCCTTGTTGTCTTTCTGGAAACAAAGATTGAGGTTTTGTGGAGGTTCTTTTTAACTAATTCAATGAGAT